AGGGAGCATTCTCCATGTTTGACATAGATCTAAATTCAATCCAGTGGGTCAGTAATACTCAAACTAAGGTCGCAGGTCATATCCGGCCATTATACACCCAACACAAGAACCTGACAAGAGCTCCAAATAACCTAGTCCTTTAATAATGGTCAAATAAATAAATAACAGCCAATACTAGACAATTAAAAAATGCTACACTGTGCATCACCGTACTAAACTCTACTGTCTATATCTCTTCCTGGACTCATACATTCACTTGAGGACTCCGCCAGGACCGACTTCATGGCCGACTAACAGTACAGGTCACCTCGCTGTCCTGTCTTGAACTGCCGCTTTCTCACACACTGTGCCTCTGGTCCACGCAGGCTTTCGATCACATGACCATAACATTGGTCACGTTTGCGTGTAATCGTAGTTCTGTCTCTTGTCCATCGCCTGAGATCCCGTGCAGTGCTCGATTTAGGAAAAAACCAGTGCCGGGGTTGAAAAAAATTTTCTGCAGAGCCGGGGATAAATACCATCCCTGGCGGGGATGGTAAAAGTTAAAGCAGAGCCGGGAATGGAGCCTCACAGTGCCGGGGTTATCCCGGTTTCGCAACAATCTGAGCCCATCTACTAATCATGCTACTCCCACTACTACTATTATTATTACTAACACTTCAACTACTAGTGCTAATACAATATAACATGACACAACATGCGAAAACAAATTATTTACAATACAACACTTAAAAACAAATGATATACAACAGGTTCTAATGTTGAAATTTATTTTAATTTGTTTGTTTCATTTTTTCAAATATCTTGGTTGAATTTACAGTTTTTAATAAAAACTAGCTTGTTGAGATGGAATTTACTTTTAAATGGAAAGTGTGTTGTTTTCATTTTTTAGCTAATAGATGTTGATGCAGTAGATGATGTTGTTGTTGATGCAGTAGTTGATGTTGTAGATGAAATTGTTGTAGATGTTGTTGCGTTTGTTCATGTTATTGATGATGTTGTTGATGACGTTATTGTTTTTGTCGTTGATGTTGTATATATGGTTGAATTTACAGTTTTTAGTAGCTTGTGTTGTTGTTGGTGGTACTGCAGAAGATGATGTTGGTGTTGCTGCAGAAGATGATGTTGTTGTTGATGCAGTAGTTGATGTTGTAGAGAAAATTGTTGTTGATGTAGTTGTTGCTGATGGCGTTTGTTGTTCATGTTATTGATGATGTTGTTGTTGATGACGTTGTTTATGTTATTGTCGTTGTATATTTGAAATTGGTCTAATCATTCTAAACAATTTTTTGCTAAAAATCCAAACTATTTAAACAAATTATGGCGCTGTTCCATAACTACTTCTTTTGTTGGTTTGCCAGAAGGTAGGTCGCTAGCAGAATGCCTTCCGTCTTTCAACCACTATGTGGCATACAACCTGGCATCAAAATGTTGAAGTGGCGGACCATTCATTTTAATAAAAAGCAAGTGCTTGATAGTTTCAACATCTAATGAATTCCGAAGAGATGTGTGAGTTAAATTCATCGCGCTGAATCCTCGCTCACAATCAGCAGTAGATATTGGCAGAACATCTAATCTCTTGTACAATTCATTAAGTTCTGCATCAGCATCATGACCATCTTTTGTCATGCGAAATTGGTGCACTATTGCTGAAGTATGACGTGCTTCAATTTTCAAAAATTTTTTAAAGTTCCATAATTTCACGATCTCCATACAACATTAACTCTTCTGTGTTTTTTGGCCAATTAGCCTTACATAAAACTTCAGCATGTTTCAACACAAGTGTGCTGTTGTCAAAACGGGAGGAGATGTTGTCAACCAAACTTTGAAAAAACTTTTTCTTAAAATTGTGAAACTTTGTTTGTTCCGCTTCCGTTGGTAGCATAAGCTTGATTTCTTTGAAAGTACCTGTGCAAGAAAATTCCTTTAAACAATCCTGACCACTGACACCATAATATTCTTTGACGGCTGACAATGTTTTTATAGCATTGGAAATCTCAGCATTTACTGTTCTAACTGAGGATGAATTTTTTTGTAAAAATAGTGATAAACTTTTAAACAACTTCAAGGGCTTCTTTGATTATTGTTAGTTCGTAAACAAAAATCCATTTCTTCAGTTTTTGACTTATTCCACTGCATTTAGTTCTATCTCGAACATTTCTGCTCATATCCAAACTGAGTGTTTCAAAATGTTTCACTAAAGCTGGATAGTTTTGCCAGATTGCTTGAACACTACGCAAAGAGGATGCCACCCAACGAATATCAAATGTACGACCAATTTTTAGTAACTCTGTGTGTACTTCTTTTGCTACAATTTCTAATTGATTTCTATTCTTTGGTGATCGTGAAAAATGAGAATATAATGATTCAGCAAATATCTGAAAGTGTGAGAGTTCTGTTGATGTTTTCAATACATCGTGAATAGCTAATTCCAATTTGTGAGCCATGCAGTGAAAACAAAATCTGTATTCATTTTTTGTTTCAATAATGCCAAAGCACCTTTCATTTCACCTTGTAAATTACTTGCTTATTTCGATTAATTCGGTAGATGGACGTACCAACTTTTTCCATTTAACTAAAAATTTCGTGATTGCACTTATTCGACTTAAAAAACCAGTGCTGGGGCTGAAATTTTTTTTCTGCAGAGCCGGGGATAAATGCCATCCCCGGCGGGGATGGTAAAAGTTAAAGCAGAGCCGGGGACAGAGTGCTGGTTAGGTTGGGGTTTTGTTGTAGTAGAGTCTGCCTAAAAACAAAAAAATTCACGACACCAAGTAGACCCGATGTAAGTAAGACGTGCCACCCTGGTCTTCAAATGTAGTTTGCTGAATCTTTTGAACGCGACTACAAATATGCTCGTGGAAAGGAAGCAACAGAAAAATGGGAACGCCGTAAGACTTTCCTGGACATCTTCGGGAGGAAAATTACAAAGCGGAAAGATTGTTGATTCTAAATCAGCTATACTATCACCAGAGCAAAGAGGGGGGGGGGGGGTGTACTCGAAATACATACGCTACTGAACGAAATCTGCTTCCTCTGAAAAAAAAGTTAGAGCCACTGTAGGTCTATAGAGGCGAATGGTCTCGATAGAGAACAGCATGGATCTGTACCAGTGAATACTGGGTAGAGCTCAGTAACAATATTCAGCTTGCAGTCCAAACAGGCAACATCAGATAAATTTATGACCGTATGACGGCATCAAAAAGACTCTCAGACCCACCCAAAGTCAGCGCCTCTTAAAACTACTACTGTGGAAATCATCAACAGACAAGAGCAAACACGTGCACTAATGGGTCGAAGTCTATGCATCAACAAACTTTGTCTCTGCCTCAGCCCCTGACGCTATCAATGAACTACTATGTACTGTACCGGTACCTACAATGACCTAACCAACTAACCCTAAAACTCAACAAAACCATAACCTAGATGGCTGCTGGAAATCTCCCCCCCCCCCCCCCAAATCTTCTGAAACAGCGCTAAATTACAATAGGCGCATTCCTCGTTCCATATGCTAGGGCAAATTTGTATAAATGCTCCTTCTTCCCTAGTGCTATTAGAGTATGGAATGGGTTGCCTGAGCTAGCCCGGAAAACCAGTGACTTGGCAGAATTTAAGTCATTGGTTAGCATGCTTGACACGTAGGACGTAATCATCTTTTTTTTTTTGAAGTAACGTCTGTATTATATAAGAAATGTTGGCAAGATGATGTGCCACGAGACCTGCCGGATGCTCAGATCGTCACACCCTGTACAAGAATAAACGTGACATAAGGGGATTACAAAACTTGCTTCCGCCTTCGATCTAGTCAGAAGAGATGGCCTCTAAAAATTTACAGGGGTTCTGACTCGGGATAATCATGCTAACAATTCGAAGTTCCACAAGACCAGGCAGCCATCTTTATTCCATGCTACGTGCACGCAACCAATAGTAATCGACCACTTTTACAGTATCGTACTTTCAATTGTTCGACCCTTATTTCAAGTATAACTTGTTTTGTGTGTGTTAATAGCCAAAAGAAATAGTCATATCAACTATTAATGGATTGCAATAAAATTATGAATTTTGAAGTCTTGCTTATTATTGCTTACTTTCTTTTTGGTCACTTCTAGATAAAAAAAACAAAAACTACCCACATTTTTGTGTTTGTATCAAGTTTTATAACAGGGCGGACTGACTATATGGGTATTTCGACAAATGACCGGTAGGGCTACCGAAAGGGTTGCATGGATGCTCTTAAGGAACGTATTTATTTAAGATTTTATATTACAGACTCGATAGTGTAATTTAATTAAACACATGATCCGAAATTTGTATTAGCCTACAACATGAGGCCAACATTTCTTTAGTTTGTACAATATTATAAGTCAGTCCACTATATGCATGCGTACAGTATCGATAGGTTATCAAACTTTTATTGATTTTGAGGACAGATAGGGCCTAGAATTGGAGGCACAGTGTCTTCCCTTTCAATTTTAGTAGAATTTCTTTAGTCTCGCTTCTGATTCCAGCAATGCACCATTCATTGCTTTGGGTCCTAAGTTTTCTATCATTTGAAGTTTTGCTGGTCTAACACACTGTGGTGAGAGAAGGCGCTACAATCTATTAGCCACTTCTTGTTAAAGTCAATGAAATCTCCAAAACTACCATGATAAACAAAACCGAATCTTTCAACTCATTCTTTAACGTTGTGTAGTGTAATTGAAACTTTGGAGTTATTACACTAAAGATTAAAATATTCTCCACCTACACCAGGGGGTTCTCAACCTGTGAACCGCGACCCTCTTGATGATTTGCCAGGGGTCGCCAAAGACCGTCGAAAATATGGATTGTTATTGTCTATTCTTCTATTGATGTATGTGTGTGTGTGGTGTCGCAGCAGAGTGGGGGATTGTAAAAAGGGTCGCCAAGCATAAAAGGTTGAGAACCGCTGATCTACACCTACCAACTGTACAGGTATGATAGAAGTTCTACATTGAAATGTGAACAAATAAAATAAACACAAAAGACTTGATGTTTAATTCATAAGAAAACAATGACATACTAATAGTCAGCAAATACTTAGTGCAAACCCATTGCTAGTTATTACTATCATACCATAACAATTAGTAGTGATTGAATTAACCTAAAAGAAACTTGTCAGCACATATTATGATTTGTAACAACAGTTTCAATGAAATAAATGTAAAAACACATCCAATGAAAACAAGGCTTACTATCTTCCATAGCAATGATTATTTTAAAAAAAAATTATGAACAAAAAGTTCATTTGGGAGGGTCAAAATAGTGTCACATTCATAACTGATCAGATTACAAGTCAACAAAGAATTGATCAGATTATTTAAAGTCAGTATAGTGTAACAATCGATCAGATTATTTAAAGTCAGTATAGTGTAATAATTGATCAGATTATTAATAGTAGATATTGTGTCAAATTTTGTCGAGGCTGTCAAGCTATCGAATTCCAACACAAGTGTCACGCATTTGACCAGTGGTTGTGGCTTGCAATCATCACATTTAAACATCACAAAAACTATTTTTCAATATCATTAAAACAAGATCAACAACCATTCAGTACTTTTACTTTATATTCATGTCTATATCCATTTAGCTTGCATCAAATTGAAATATGTAATACTTGGGTATAGGATCTTTATGAAATAGACATTGGCTAGTTTTACAACACTAAAAGAGTACAGCATTAGCTGGTGTACAATATCACTGCAAGTTCATAGGAAGGTGAGCTTGATTCAAAGAACCTGTACAAAGTAGCCTAATCCACCTACTGAGTTGTACACAGTATGTCAACTATTTCACTAGAATACAGGCTAAAATTACACCAGAAAATGTTTGGTATATAAATAACTTTCTGGGGAAAGATTGAAATATATTTAGCAATATACTGAAACAAACATTTAATTCCTATAATGAATTTGTTTAAATTGGTTGGACTACATTTTGTTTTTCAGATGTTGATTAAATTTGATCTTAAAGGGTCTCTAAAAACATTACTGGCTGGTGGAAGATACTGCAGCTGAATGAGAGGGGCTCACTGTAGATTTACTAGTAACAGTATTATCCACCCTAGAGACCTGCTGTTTAGTTTTGGAGGTTTCACTCTGTGCCTGCCACTTCAGTTTACTTCGGCCAGGCAATGGAGGATGGTAGAATGTACAGGTTGAATTCTTGCAGGTTGAACCAAAGCGACAAGGCTTGGGATGTAAGAACACACAGTTTATGTTGTAACAGTTTGGGAAATATCGACAAGTGATCTGCGATGAGGCGCTGTAACTAGGCGGCGGTGCTGTCGAGAGTATTACATGAGGCTGTGGGATGGTAATGACATGAGCAGCACTGCTAAGGTTAGGCCTGCGACTGGTGTGGGTAAAAGGGCAATCCGGTCGGCTACACTTGGAGTCAAATTTGCAGTTGGGGTGTATGAACAAGCATTTATCTCCAAACTTGCAGTTAGGGAATGTCTTACAATGCATGGTTGGGTGGTGGTACTCACACCCAGCACCTGCTGCACAAGCTGGCCAGAATTTACACCTCTCTGACATTTTAGCCTTTTTTAAAGCAGACAGAAGGTTATCTTCCCCATTATCTGGATTTTGATCAAATGTAACCTTATTTATGACATCCTTATCTTCATGTTCATCATCTGAGTCTCTGAGATTTATTGAAAACTGCTGTATTCTAGGAGGCTGCAGCTTACTGGATAGTACTTGGCTGACTTGAGTCAAGGGAAGAATACTCTGCTGAAGGGCAGATCTTGTCTGAGCTGTCAAGAGATCAAGAAGCAGTTTTTCCTTTTGTGTTTCAGCAGCCTGTAAAGGTATAGCTACTCCAGGGAGAGACTGCCTGCTATCTGAGACATCAAACTGTCTTTCGTCTACTCCATCAAGTGTTACAATGAACCTGGTGCCTGCCTTAGAGTCTTCCACTTTCCCCACAGCCTTTGCACTGTCCACGTCTTCGTCATCTATCTCTCCAACAACATTGGTGATATCATCATCTTCAAGGTCTAAAGTGAACTCGTCATGATGGTCCAACATCTCAGGCTCTAGGTCATCATCCAACATCTGGGCCAGGTCATCAGACATATTTTCCTCAGCATCACTCGTCTTGACATCTCGAGTTTCATCTAGATCTAAAACATCCTCCTCAGCGGTAGCCGCCAGAGTGTCATTGTCACAGCAAACAACTCTACTGTCTGGACTGGCAGTCATCTTTGCTTTGTCACTTGCCCTTATAGACGATTTGAGTGACTGGACAGCGGCTTCACACTGTTTCTGCACCGCTGCTTTACCCAGTCTGGAGATCACCCTTGAGCCAGACCTGCCCCTAACTTCTTCTGGTCTCAACTTTAATTTATTTAGTTGAATGTCATTTCTGACATCAGAAGACCTTCTTTTTACTATGACTTTACCCAATCTAGAGGTGATAGAGCTTTTGACATCAACAACAGAACTGTCTTCTCTTTCAACTTTGATATCCTTAGGTGAGACAACTCTGGCTATAATTTGGAAATTCTTCACGGCTCCAATGTCAGCGTCTCCTTTCACTTGTCTTTCTATTTGAATGCAAGTCTCTTTCATTTCCTTTCCACTCTTCTCATTCATGTGGACTGAATCAGATTTAGTAGACATATTGCGCTCAAGTTCCACTGCTCTTTGCTGCTCTTCCCTCCTTGATCGGGAGGTCAAGCCTTTTTTATCTTTGCCTAGAGTGTGCCTGGCATCATTGTGAGAGAGATGCCTCAGCTCTGTGACACTACTGCTCTTACCACTGGAGGCCTCTTTCCTGGAGGGAATATATGGTGGTGGGCTTGGGTCTAACCTCTTGCGTTTTGGTAAATACTCGTTGGGCGAATCTCTGCGGCTGATGGATTGTGTGGCAGCTACTTTTCGTTTGACAGCTATTGATTTCTCTGCCTCTGACATTGCTTTTAATAGTAAGGCCCTGAAGAAAGATAAAGAGTTATGAAAAGGTAATTCAATTAAATAAATAGGCAATAGATGTACAAGCCTTAACAGCCTTCAAATGTTTCAAATTATATAGTAACACGGAAACATTTTACTAGTGCTCATTACAAATATTGTATTTGGTATGAAAAGCATAAGAGACAATAAATGAAGTTTAATTTAATAAAATTAAAATATTGTATACAACCAATAGCTACAGAAGTAACTCTAAATATAGCCTACCAATGCATACACTTAAACACAGAGCTTGAGAAACACAATTTTTACAACCAAAAAAAAAATGCAACACAATTACATTCTCTTATAAAGTTAACACAAAACTTTAAATACAACCATGGAGCCTTGTCTGTATTTTTAGATAGAATTCTGATTATCTTTATCATAGTCTGCTGTAGCTTCAGCTTCTAGTTTCTTTGTTCCATCCTGCACAGCACTATTATTGACTTCTTCTTCATCTGAAGTTTCATCATCGTCAGATTCATCAGAACTTGATTCATCTGAGCTGGATTGGTCTGACTTCTGGATTGCTCTTTTATTGATCACTGTCACTTTCAGATTTTTAGCTAGAACTTTCAAAGCCTCTGGGTTGATACGTGGCGGTTCCTCTTCACTATCAACAGGCAGCGCCCCCAGGGGGGCTTTTGTTCTAGTCCCACATTGTCGCAGCACTGAAACTGATTCAGAAGGTTCCGTCCGAGATTTTTTATGGATGGAATCCACAATAATAGCGGCAATGAACTGGTCAGTAGAGTTTGATGTTCCAGCTAAGGGTTTAGAATCTGCCAACTTACTGCCCCTAAAGCTCAGGGGGGACTGGGTTGACGTAGAGACTATACACCGCCTTAATGCTAAAGAGTCACTCCCTGAGGTGCTACTCGGTGGACAAGAGTGGACTGAACATGGAGAGCCTGCATCCAATTTGCTGGAGGAAACAGGAGATTGTGGGACAGTATCTTCCGTTAAATGTCTCTCTGAATCATGGGACAGTGTTTTCGCCTGGTTGTTGACAGGCGGTGATGTTTTATCTGCTGGAAGCTTGGTGCTTCCATTTCTTTTATCTAATTTTGAAAGAGAGTACACATATTTAGCATTACACTTTTTTGTCTGCAAGTGATCTAGAGCTTTCAGAGCACTGAAAGCAGTCAATGTTTGACGCTGACTAGAAGTATTACAAGACGTTAAATCACTGTTTTTTGGTTCAGGTGTCTTCACCATGCTGTCTTTGTCTGTCAATGTATCAGCAGCAGCGTCTACACTTTCCACAGGCCCATTGTTGGTTTCAAATGCATACAAAACTTGCTGAATCTGTAACTTGGCCAGAGGTAACTGATGTGCCTTTAATTTCCTGAGAGATGACTCTACCATTTTGGAAAAGAGGCTGATGTCATCATTATTTTCCTGTGATGATTTGATGACATCTTCCAACACTTGCTTGATGTCACCCAGTGAGACTGACTCAGACGCTTTAAACACCTTCAACTGAGGCTGGCCATCCTCCTCTGTAGAGTTCTTGGTATCTGTGGCTCTGAAGGATAAAAAAATAAAGAGCCTGAAGATGTAAGAAATGTATAAAGCATGCAAGACACAGATCTACCTATTACACAACTAAGTAACTTCATCATTGTACCTTACAGACAATGGTACTATAAAGTCAACATATTACTACTATCGGTACTAAGTAAACATTGTATTGAAAGAAAAATTGATTACAGATAAAAAAAATTGAAGGAAAAAAAATATTTTCAGAGATTAAAATTATAACTTTAAAACCATATTAAAAGAAAAAAAAATTAAATGAAAGTCTCTCAGTCTGTCTATTGCAAAAATGAAAATGAGCAACAACATACCTGAAATGGTCATCTGGTCAAATGTCCACTTCAACCCCCAAATTTCGGGAAAAATTCTTCATCGTAAGATTTATTTCTCTTAAACGTTTAAATGAGATCGTTCTAGAAAAGATGTTTTAATGACCTCATTATTCAAGTAATCTTCTCACCATCACAATAGACAGACTGGAAATTGTCTCCAAATTTCAAAAAGTGACAAGTTGTATTAGACAAATACATTGAACAATGAGAACACACCATAGAACAAAAATTAATATTTGGTTAAAGAATCATACACAAACAATGGCAAACTTAAAATGTATACTTTTGAAAGGTAACATTCTAAACTAGTGACAAATGAATATTCATAAGTACATAGAGATTGTTACATCCAATGCCATAATGTATTGGATTTAACAATGTTTTTTTTTTTTAACTATAAATAAAAAAAACTAGATTGTTTTATTATATGCCATTCCACCATAGAATGTGCTGTCTGAACTATGCAGGAAAATCAAAGTTTAAATCTCTAACAATCATATAAGATTACCAGGACAGAAAATAATGATGTGAAATGTCAAATTTATAATCTAATTTAGTCCCTACCCA